ATAGACTTCTCTGATGACCCGCCTGGCCTGGTAGAGGAGGGGAGAGCAGTAGACACTTGGATCCCGCACAGAACTGGTTGGAGATGGAGCCATGCTAGGACCAGCGGAGGTGTGCCAGCGCCTGGCATCTTCTTCATATTCTGTTCCTTTTCTCAGATTAAGACCTTCAACGAAGCCTGCCTGATGGTGCGAAAGCCAGCTCTAGAACTTTTCACTTGTCTGAAAAACTCCAACTTTGCACACCCAGCTGTCAGATATGTGATCTGTATCTTTTACCACTTACTCAATGATAGAATGCCAGTTAAATACGAGTAGCTGATGTTTTGATCCTGTGCTGACCACTGTGGTTTACTCTTCAGGAGGTGGTTCTGCCACCTGTCTGTTAGCAAAGCTCACCTGAGAAGTTCATGAAGCTTGTATGCTTTCATTCCAAGCCAGATTTGGCTTCTGGCACAGATCTACAAACAGGGCTGTCAGCACAACTTAAGAGAATGAGAATCATCAGCTCTGATGTCATGGGGTGGGGGGACAAGGAACTCTTTAGGCTAGGTTTGCTGCTGAACAAAAGCATGATGGAATGCCAACCTTGCTTGTACGACCTCTGAACTTCCTTTGTGCCTCTTGCAAAAGAATTACAGTCAAGTAGAAATGGAAGTGGTTTTTTTGGAGACTTTCCTTGACAGTCTGTGCTGGAGATGGTGAAAAAGGAACAGGGAAAACCATGACTCTGTGTCATGTGGTTCACTTCTGCGCAAGGCAAGGCTGGCTGGTGCTGCACATCCCTGACGGTAAGGGACAGCGATGCTCTCGGTGTTACTGTGTCACATACACATGCTGAGCTGCAAGGTGCTGCTTCAAGAGAAAGGTGTAGGGTGGGCTACAGCAAATTACCTTTCTTTTTCCACTGCGGAGAAGACTTATAAAGCACAAACCCCCAAAATAAAGTAGAACATAATTTTCACCTGCTCTCACACGTTTATCATCACACCCTTTTGTGGCCCACTGTTAACGAGTGTGACAGGAGATGTACTGCATGTGGAGCTGCGTGACCTCCTCTGCTCTCAAGGGTGAGTCTCCTCCAGCAAGGATGGCAGACTTTCCTTACCATGGTAGCAGAATAAGGATAAGAGATACAAACACAGCCACCACCCCCCAACTCATATGGTTGTTTTGACTGAAAAAAAGCAACTGTTTTATTTTGCTTACAGCTCATCTCTGGGTGAAGAACTGCAGGGAGCTTATGCAGTCTTCCTACAACAAAGAACGGCTTGACCAGCCTTTGCAAGCATCTTCCTGGCTCAAGAACTTCAAAACCTCAAACGAGCGTTTCCTAAAAGAGGTTGGTAGAGCCTGCCCAGGGTCTGCGCATTCACGTGCTTCCTCTTGTTGAGCACCTTGGCGTGAATTCTACATTTGCTCCTTTTTAAGAAATGCTTCATGTATTATTGCATACAAACCCTACCCTTCACTGGAATTCAATTTTTGTAGAAAAAGAAGTACTTTAAATCCCCACGGTGGGGACGGCTATTTGCAATGAATACTTCTCCCAGGTTCTGCACTAGTCTGTAGTGCTGGCAAAGAACCAGGAATCTTGCCACCCAGAGCTCCCGAGCTGCCTTTGTGCTACTTAGTTTCCAACCTAATCATACTTCTCTTTCTTACTGCAGATAAAAACACACAAAAAATATGTGTGGGGCAAACGAGAAAGCACTGAGGCGGGCAGACCGTTGGGTGAAGTGGTGGAGCAGGTAAGGAATAACAACAGCTTTGTCTCACCTTTTATCAGAAGATCCCATTGTTGTGTATGTACAACAAATTGCTTCTAAAGATCTTACAAATGTGAGTTCTAGGAAATGGAAGGGGTTTCCCTATCAACAAGGTGGCTGCAAAAACTGTTCTGGAAGATGGGATGGAAGTTGTAGAGAAAGTGTGGCTAGAAGCAAAAATTAGAATTTGAAAGTTCTTCCATATTTGCTGCTCAATATCTTAGACCAGATTCCTCCTTTGACAGGAACAAATAGACTGTTGGCTGCTGTTTTATCTTCCGTCCCCCTTAGAAAGGGCAGACAGTGCCCAGAGGTGCTAGCATTATATATTAGCAAGAAAACCAACCTGAGTTGTGTGCCTTTTCCTACTTGAAGGGTTTAGCTCGCGTGAGAAACGCCAGCGATGCTGTAGGGGTTGTGCTGAAAGAGATTAAGCAGCAATGTCAGCTTGGCTCATTCCGACTTCTTGTGGCAGTGGACGGCGTCAACGCGCTCTGGGGAAGGACCACATTAAAGAAGGAAGACAAAAGCCCCGTAAGGCGTGACCCGCTGTGGTGATATTTCTGCATTCCTACGGCAAGGGAGAGCAGGGGAGGGTGTTTGGTTCGTTTTTAAGTTCTGTAGTAATCCCTGAAAGATGTCCGTTTGGCTTTGCTAGCTTGGAGGGCCCTGCAAAATTCATATTATGCTTCAGACAATTTTTACTGAGGGAAGTTTTCCCAGTAAGAATAAAGTGCATCTATGTCTTCTTACAGCAGGAAAGGTTTGGGCATTTTCCTGTGTAAAGTTAGAATCATAGAATCGTCTAGGTTAGAAGGGACCTTAAAGATCATCTAGTCTAACCATCAACCTAACTCTGACAAAAAAATAAATAAGAAATAAGCAATAAAAAAATCACTAATCCATATTCCTGAGGACCATGTCAACCCGTCTTTACCCATCCTCAGTTACCAAGACTGAATGCTACAGCAAAGAAAAAAATGCACCTACAGGATGCAAATGACCCTTCCAGCCTGATTTAAAGCATGGGAGGGAAATGTATGTCTCAGAAACTGCTGGCAAAAAAAAGTGATACAGACAATCTTCACCAGGTTTCTCCAGAGGAGCTGACGCTTGTGTACAATCTGAGGAAGATGATGATGAACGATTGGGTGAGTTCGGTCTGTACATTTGGGGGTATTATTCTCAGCAGTTAAAGCTACAAATCTAACATCCCACTGCTCCTTCAGTGAAGGAGAGGGTGAGCACAGTGTGGCTTGAAAGGGTTATCCTCCATCAGTGTTTCTGACCGCACAGAGAGAGCAAGAACAGGTTGAATATAGAGCAATTCTTTTCTTGATTACTGTGCCACACTCTACCTGAGCTAGAGGTATTTAATAGCCCTTAGGACACTTTATTTTATGATTTTTTGAACTAATGAGAACTTTTAGTTTCTAAATGTTTTGCTCTAGGAGGTCAACTCCCTCTGCTTCTTTTTCAGTCCCCTGGATGCTAGTATCTCTAACAGATAATCATCAGATTTAAAAGTATATAGGAAAGTTCTTTTTAAAGTGTTTCAGTGATTTGATTAGAATGCCGTTTATAGGTAAGAATGCTCTGTTGAAATGCCAACCCTGGAAACGCCAGCCATGTGTTCCCTGTGCTGCCCGTGTACTTAGAGTAGCCAGGGTTATGTAGGGAGGAGCATTACAAGAAGTCCCTTATACAGAAATTTGGAATTGAAATAAGAAGAAAATACCTCACTGGATTCGAATCAATCCGTACCTAGTTCACAAATGCTACGTTTGCAACTAGAAGGGTTTCTAATCTCCCTTTTAGAACGGAGGTGCTATTGTGGCAACGCTCAGCCAGACCGGCTCTCTCTTCAAACCCAGCTCTGCCTATTTGCCCCAGCAGTTGCTGGGAAAGGTGAGTCACAGCCCCTTTTTTTCCCCAACTTTCCCATTGGGAAATAAACAGAAATCCTGATTTGGAAACAGCTGGCTGAACATGAGCCCGCAGTGTGCCCAAGGCATGGGTGGCCAAGGCAGCCAACAGCACCCTGGCCTGTGTCAGGAGCAGTGTGGCCAGCAGGAGTAGGGCAGTGACCGTCCCTCTGGACTGGGCACTGGTGGGGCCCCACCTCGAGGGCTGTGTCCAGTTTTGGGCCCCTCACGACAGGAGGGACCTTGAGGGGTCTGGAGCACAAGTCTTGTGAGGAGCAGCTGGGGGTGTTCAGCCTGGAGAAAAGGAGGCTGAGGGGAGACCTCGCTCTCTCCAACTCCCTGAAAGGAGGGTGTAGCCAGGGGGGGTCGGTCTCTTCTCCCAAGGAACAGGCGATGGGACAACAGGAAACAGCCCCAAGTTGCACCAGGGGAGGTTTAGGATGGATATTGGGAGAAATTTCTTCACCCAAAGGGTTGTCAGACACTGGAAGAGGCTGCCCAGGGCAGGGGGGGAGTCGCCATCCCTGGAGGGATTTAAAAGCCGGGCAGACGTGGTGCTGAGGGCCATGGGTCAGTGGGGTTTGGGCAGTGTCAGGCTGATGGTTGGACTTGATGGTCCTGAAGGTCTTTTCCAACCTCGATGATTCTGTAACTGCCCTCAGCTCAGGGTGATGCCCCCAGACGTTGCCCCTCATTCAGCCCCCAAACATCCTTGCTGTCCCCTGAACTGCCTGCCTGAGGTGGTGGGTATCTGGGCCGTGTCCCCTCCCTCGGCAAGGGTCCCACCCCTGCCTTTACTTCCAGGAGGGCTTCGATGCGCTGGATCCCTTTGTCCCCGTCCCGGTCCCCAACTACAGCCCGCGGGAGTTCGAGAGCTGCTACCAGTACTACCTGCACCGCAAGTGGCTGCAGCACGAGAGAGGTCAGCACCCCCCGGGGCTGGGGGAGCCGCTGGCCCGGGGCTTGGGGGTGCCAGTGTCAAGGGGGAGCCGGTGGTCCGGGGGCTGGGGGTGCCGGCGGCCCGTGGCGTGCTGGTGGCCTGGGGGTGCCGGTGATGTGGGGGTGCCGGTGTCACCAACGCCCCTCTCTCCCGCAGCGCGCACGCCGGAGGGGAAGGAGGAGCTGCGGTTCCTGAGCGGCTCCAACCCGCGGCTGCTGGAGCGTCTGGTGGGGCCCCTCTAGAGCAATAAAGGCCGCGGCGGCGGAGGGTCCTGCCTCGTGTCCGTGTCCGTGTCCGTGTCCGTGTCCGGTCTCCGCCCCGGGGCGGGCGGGGCTCCGCCGCTGACGCTCTTCCTGCCTGGCGGCGGCCATGGCCATGCCGGGGGAGGCGGTGACGCTGCAGCTGGGGCACTACGCGGGCTGCGTGGGGGCCCACTGGTGGGGGCTGCAGGTGCGGGGGGGGGGGGCTGAGGTGGCCATGGGGCGAGGATGGGGGACGGCAACGGCACCGGGGGGGA